CATAGGAAAGAGAATAGTAAAACAACTATGCTGGGAAATGTTACGGTGAAGAAACCAAATCCTGAGGCTTCAAAAGATTGTTGAAAGAATGTTGAGAGGGCTTGAGTTAGCTTTGTTCTAAAATAGACGAAGATTTACATGCGTAAGGAAAAGAGCATATTCCGAAAAATTTGTGTGACTTTGTTGTAGAAGCGTACCTCTAAAACAAAAGGAGAAAAAATTGTCTTTTAGATATTCAAATTTTTGTTATTTTATTTTCTTCTTTAAAAACGTCCCCATTTCTTATTCTTTTTTCCATTTAATATGAAACATACGAATAACTCCGTGCCTAGCAAAATTTATAAATTTGCTTCTGTTGTATTGTCGGATCGATTTTTGTCCTACAAATAGATAGAGATATTACAAACTACGAAAAACTTCTTTCAGAAATAAATTGTATTAAGCGTTCAAACGCTTATGAGAATACAAAATGGTAGATCTGCAGGTCTGATAGTAACTCACATTTGTTTTTTTTTCTCCTAAGATAGAAGACTTTAATTGTTAGACTACTGTGTACATACTATTATTCTAAAGCTTATTGAGCATTTTATGTATACGTAGATATTGTACGGAGCAACATTTATTTATAACATAATCTTTTATATAGCTCTTGTTTAAAAGAAAGAAATATAATAATAAAACAAATGTTATTTGATTAAACATAAGATTAATGAGAAAAATATTAAAAAAAATTCTGAGACAGGGCGAATGGAAGCTGTTAAAAGTATTAAAGAGAGACGTAAAAAAGAGTTTGACATAATAAGAGAGGAAAAATAAGGAATGCGAGAAGGCACGCCATCAAGGAAGAAAATGAAGAACAAAGTAAATAAAGCGAACTCGAAACAGGTATAGAAAGAAATCAAATAAGAACTATTAATATAACCTGAAATATATTTTGTACATATTCCTGACTTTTCGCAGACCTTCGTTGAAGTTAATCATCAATCAGTTTCCGTCTTATACATGTGAAGATTTTTAATCTTGAAAATGAAATGGCTAATGTCTTTTTTAAAATAAGAATCCCTCCTTAGCGCACAAAATCTCATTAAAGTAAAAAAACTGAAAATAAATTTAATCTGAACTCTAGAGAGCATTTTATATAGCTAAAAACTCCCGTAGAATTGATTTTTTGAAATTGTGATTTATGATGAGTTTTATATCTTTAACTCATTAACAAATAGGAAGTGTGCAAGAGAAAAAGAAAACCGAGGGTATTTAATGCTCTTAACCATTAATTTTCATTCCATTTAATTACAAAGCACTCATCATTCCGCTATCAGAATTTTCTTTCATTAGGTTTCGAGTGTTGTTAGAGTGGTTTATCCTTTTTTAGCTTTGAATCGAGGAAGCTATTTGACAGTTTTCACGCTCATTGAGAAATGAATATGAGAAGCATTTAGTACTGAGTTACTTTAATGAACATCGAAAATGTCATTATAATTCCTTGCTGATATCTTCCATCTGTAACTAAAGATATCAAGTTGAAATATTCTTAACATTTTATAGTAATAGATTTAAATCAATCATAGCATGTTTATATTTCTCGAATACCATGTTTTTAACTCGATTCGAATATGAAAAATATTAATGACATTAATATGATTTTTAAAACGTTTTGAAATAATTATGTGATTTGTTGATAATTTTCTTCTAATAAAATAGTATTAAAAGAAAACTGATTTCATAGCATCTGGGCATAATTTTTAAGTGGACTGTGACAGGTAAAGCTGCGAAACGAATGTCAGATTACATCCAAATCTCTCTTTCTTTTCTGTATATATATATATATATATGTATATTTATACATACATACATATATAAATACTTATACTATTGTAATTGAATGCTTACATGAAATTAATTTTTACGTTTCATTAAACATTTTTAAATCTAAGAGATGCGTAACTTGGGACTTGCTTCAGTTGAACTTGATGAACTGTAGTAATGCTTATTGACGTATAATTACGTTTAGATGTCTCTGAATTGTTGCAGTAATAATTAGGTATACGAGTAATAAATAATTGTTATAGGAGTTAGTTGAAGGGATCTTCATAAGGATGTGCGGTGACTAGTTAATGACACCTGTACCGAAAAAGATCATAAGAGTTTCATAAAAAGAAGGGGAAGAGGAAACTTGCATTCTGTTTATTATTAATACTCACAGACTTCATAAAAATATAGAGGATAATAAGGAAGAGCACAGGTGTACAGGAAACGGCATTTATACTGGATATTTAGATTAGAATCAAATGTGACAAATCCAGACGCAGAAATTCATATACATTATGCCATGGATGCGTCCATACAAGTGATGCTCTTTAACTCGCATAACCAACTATGGATATATTCAGTGTCAAGTCTGAGAGAACGTTTATTGGAAGAATTCATTTATTCCTATGATCTAATTTTACATAACCTATTTTTTGATTTACCTTTGTTCGTTCCAAACTCATAATGGCAGGGAATGCCCCGATCCAACTTTGACCATCGACCATCTTATTAAAGCAACTAATAAATATATCTATACTAGACTATGTTTCACTGTCCGATTATATGTCATTTGATCTGGGTAAGCAAACCTCAAATTTGGCTTTACTGCGAATTAAAATTCCTACTAATAAAGAAAAGATTTTAATTAATTTAATGTGAGAAGAATCTATCAATTTAGTTAACTTGAACGGCAACTGCTCCGACAATGAAGGACTGAACAACACAACTGAACTAATAGCAGAAAAAAGTCAAAATATATGTTCAAATTTGTTTAACTTCAGAAGTAACAATTCAATCGACAAAATTAATTGGTGGATTTAAGAGCTTAAAACCCAGGAATAAGACAAAAGCCCTTAGAAGACAACTAAAAACACCCAAAGATAAAGCACTAAGGGAATCAGTTTTGGCTAACTACAATGAATAAAGGGCTTACCATAAAAAGATGACAATAGGAGCAAAACTCAAGAGCTGGCAAAATACTGTACCAAAAACAAAGAAATATATGGCCCAATAATATCAAATATCAGTTAGCAAGGTTTTTAAGCCTAACACAGCTTCACCTTCCAAGCAATCTAAAAATAAATGCAAACAAAAACACAGATATTACCACTTTATCCATAAATGCCATACTAGATGCAGTGTTCACTTCAGATCAGAAAATAATGCGTGATTGCAAAATTGCAAAATCATCCCATAGACAGTACACGAGGTTCCATTCACAATAAAAGAGATCTCATACATAATCAAATGCTTAGCTAGAAAAAAAACTCCGGGGCCGAGGGTCTAGATAATCAGATTTTGAAACTCATTCACGCAGCAAACAAGAATTTAATCACGGACTTTTGTGACAAAAGCATTGAACTATAGACTTTTCCCAACTGCTTAGAAATAGGCCAGATTGTGCTATTCGCCAAAAAGAATAAAATGCCAGCCGATATCAAATCCTACAGGGCAACAAATCTTCTTTCAGGTCTTGAGAAATTATTGGAAAGTGGAATAATAGAAAGTCTCAAATATCACTTCCATACAAATGGATTCATTAGCGCTCACCAATATAGTGTCAGAAACCATTCCTGCAGTAAACGTTGTTTTGAGACAAATAAGATCCGGAAAAGCAAACCAGATGCCTTCAACTATTTTGTGATATTACTTTTGAATGTGTGTTTGTTCCCTCTAGTGGTCTGCAATCCTGAAGGCTCTTAGAGAAATCAATTTTTCCCAAAATGTCTTTCTTGTAATAACAAATTATTTACAGCAAAGAGAAAGCACAGTTTTACAAAATAATAGCACATCTTCCTGAAAACAGACAAGAGGATGTCACCAGGAATCTTTCATGACTGTGGCTTTTTGAAACATCACATTTAAAAGTACAATGGATCATGAATAGCGAGGGCATTCTAGAATATGTTTGTTCGCAGATGATGTAGCATTTGTAACCTCTGATAATACAGTAAACATCCTCAAAGATAATAGCTACGAAGCATTTAAGAAACTCAGTGTTCTTTTGCAAGGTTAAAAAACTGAAGGTTTCGCACCATATGTCACTAGTGATGCATAAAATAAGCAGAAAACTCTCAGAAACATTGCACTGAATATTGAAGCCAATATAACCATAACAGTTAAAACAATAAAATATCTTGATATTATTAATTATCTAACCGCTATTATCTTGCAGTCCTCATCTCCAGAACGTTAAATTACGCACTGCAGCAATAGGATTCACACTAAGCCGGATGCAAGGCTACAACTGGAGACTTAATATTAAAAAATATTGAAACATAGTTATAAACAAAATGGTAACATATAGTGAAGCAACATGGGCAGTACCCATGAATAAAAGGAAAGCGAGGAGCCTTTGTGCCATTCAAAAACCTTTTGTGCTGCAAATTACTACAGCCTTTCGGAAAGATGTCTATTGCAGCACTTAACGCTCTAGAAGGTACAATTTTTCTTAATATCAGTGTAGAAACAGAAACTGTAACCCACAGGATCATGCAGGTGAATCAAAAATTAGAGTACTGCAGAGATCTAACCTTCCTCCTAAGTCAATGCGAAAATAGATCACAGCCGTATAATAAACATTTAGTATCTCCCGGCAATAGAATTAAATTCCATAGATTTGAAAGAGAAGAAGAAACCGAATATCCGACTGTATTTATAGACAAATCTAAAGTTGACAATAAAGTTGGTTGCGCTGTGTACTTTATATTAACGAAGAATTATTCAGTCATTTGGATGGGACACATGAATCTCGAAAACTGCGTGTTCCAAGCGGAACTGACAGCCATTCGATAGATACTGCAAGTATCAGAAGAGTACCACCTCTGTAAACTGCACATTAAAAAAACCAGATAAGCAGACTGCTCTTTTGGAAATTAAAAACGATGTTCAGAGTAGTTTAATATTTATGTTAATTCTTAGGTTTACTATAAAATTAAGAGAAATTTCTAAAAATTATATATTATACTTACAGAAACACCCAAGAAGCGTAAATTTGCCAGTGTGTTCGAAATACGTTTTGCCATGAAATGCTTGTCATACGTGAAATCGCCGAGAGTTACGGAGGCGTTTGTCGACCGCCAGTGCTGTTCAACATTCCGAAATGCCAGTGCTATCGCCCAAACCGCATCATATGTCTGAGGAACAAAAGCACTGTATCTAGGTGATGTGTTGAATCCTATATGATTCAGAATTTCGGGCATAGTCTGAAAATATTCAAAAGTATAAAATAATTACCACAGATGTATATATATATATATATATATATATTGAATAATTGCGAATGCATAGTATAAATGTAGAGTAAAAATAGCAACAACGATTAAGAAATATCAACACATATTTCACCTTGTATATTCGAAAGACTGGTTTAGGCTGTTTAATTTCTATTGCGTTCAGTTAACTTCCATTTTTATTTGCACTTGTTATATTAACTGCTTTTTTTCACTTCTTCACACAATTTCAGATTGTCCTTGCCATTATATCTACAATATCATATTTTTATAATTTGTGCTGCTTTAAGAAAAGCTATTTTAACTGGGACCAAACTCCATTCATGTATTTTTAAAATACGAATAATCGGTCTGCCTTGATTATTTGGTAAGCCAAATGCATATTTACTATTATGTAAATGAGGAAATTATTTTTTATTCATTTTATATCGACAAATACTGTGCAACAAAAAAGCAAATTACCATATTTAAATAAAATGCACGCTCTTTTTAACAAAACTAAACAATGAAATTATGATTTATTTTCTTAAGCACAAACCCTATATTTATCTAAAAAACAGCTGTACTAACTTTTCGTATCTACGAAGTATGGGATTCCTCCGCTTGGATAGTCCTTGCGTGCATTGCCAAGCAAATGAAACCAATTCAAACTAAACCAAACAATCTACAAGTACAGTTTATGCAAGCTCCAGGTTTTTTTCAGCCTGTTAGCGATATTAACAGTTCTTTCTCAATGAAACAACATGATTCCTTTTGATGGTGTATTAACTACGTGAAAAACTGCGCTTTACTTAGCATAACAGTAGAAATTATTCCATTTTGCATGGATATTAAGTAAATAACAAAAGACACTTTGTCCATAAGAATAAAATCTTACACACACAAAACGATGCGCTGTATATCAAGTACCTGACATAAAGTAATTAACTACAATACGCTGCATGTTTTAAGAAAACACCCTTTGCGTGCAGAAAACTGACATAATCTCACTATATCTGTTTATTTTATTTTAATTTTTTGGAATAGGAACGATTGTTGTGGTTATTAATATGACATGGAGTAAGAAAAGAAAAGTAAGCCTACATAATTGCATTTCCATTCATGTTTTAAAAATACATATATGCTGAACATACTACAGGTTGATTTGCATGTTGTGAATATTTCTACAATTAAATTTAATATCTTCTAGAAAGCATGTTGTGTACTTAGCTTTTCACACGTTGTGTACTTAGTACTTTTCTGAAATCAACAAAAAAATTGAAAATAAGTAAACTAAGAAAAATCAAAATTTTACTTCTGCTGGGAAAACAAAGAAAGATTGCCGGATACTTGGAGTAAGGAGTATTTTTATTCACAATAATTGGTGTTCTACCATAAAACAGATCCCAAAGAAAAGATAACTAGAGAAAAATATATTCAGGCTACTGATTCAGCATATTGCTAAGGAGAGTCATGCATTGGATACATCTGGTTATGAATGCTTCAATGATTTCATTTCAATTTAAAGTAAGTAGTTGATCTGATGGCCTCTTTTATGCACTCATAGACTAGTGAGTGATACTTTATAAAAAGAAAAGCCTGATAAAGAAAAAATTTAATTTCAACTTAATGTAAGAAGTTGATTTAATGGCCTGTTTATGCACCCATATATCACTGAATGATAGTTTCTATAAAGAATAGCCTAGTAAAGAAACCGAAGTACGTTATGAACATAGGATACAAAAGCACTGTAATGGTTGTACATTCTATCTGCCACTTGAATCCTCGGCTCATACCTTTATAAGGTATTTCTCCCTCTTTACTAGCATGCCTTCGTGGTGTAGTGGTTCTGCACGCTGGGCCGGTATTCCAGAGGTCCGTGGTTCGATTCCCGGCGAAGGCGGTTTCTAATTTTTCATCTTTCTTGGTTCTAAAAACATCCTAATGTCGCTACACCTTTACCAAAGCGTTATAGCAATTTATCGCATATAAAATTCAATAAAAACTCATATTAATAGACAAGCGAAATTAAGTGATTATTAACCTATCTTGGGCTTGTGAACTGATGGGAAACATCAAGTTCACAACTATGCATATTGTATATTATACATATATAAACTGAAAAATAAACTTTCATATAAAACTTCGAACTAAGTAACATGCTAAAAAATGCAGAAAATGTAGTAGCAATAACAATAATATAAATCAAATGCTTAAATTTATAATTCTTTTTAGAACAGCAAGAATCTAATCCTGTAAACCTAAACAAAAGAACGAAAAGAAAATAATTCAAAGGTAGTAAACATTTCTCGTAACATATCATCACGAAAATATGTAGCAAGACAGCGATGCTTCTTAACTACTCAATGAATAATTTAATAAAGCCAAAAGCCTTTTTACATTATAATAAAGAAATTAAGTAAAAGAATTAATTACTCGTTAAATTAATCGAAATCCTCTACTGCTTTAAGACAAATCAAATAAGTGAAACGAAATAGTAAACCTCATGGCTAAAGTCCAGCCATAAAACTAAAATTATTGAATTTATAAAATATGCCAAAAAGGATTAATGAATTAAATGAATTAAACAATTAAAAACCTGTAATAAATAAGAATGCAGAAAATGTTTTTGAAAATTAATTTTGTTAATTTATAAGGTATTTTCTCATTCCTTCCAGCATGCCATGCTGTAACGGTAGCACACTCGGCGCGTATTCGAGAAGTCCAGGTTCGAGTCCCGGCGAGGGCATTGCCCTTTTTTCACACCTCCTTCAAAGAATCCAGATGAATCTATAAATTATTTTAAATTAAGTTTATCAAGATTTCAGAAAATCGAGAAGCCGTATAAATATTCTAATTTTAAGTAACGCAACGCATTTTAAAATAATAAAAAAAATTAATACGATTTTTAAACGAATGTAATTACAGATTGCAAGTTATTAGTACCAGAACAAACGTAAAAAGAGGAGCAGTTGTCCATCACATAACAAGTTGAAAGGTCGAAACTGCTTCGTTTGGACACTTCAGCTTGCCTGAATATTCTTTTGCCACTAAAGCTGAAACCACACATAAGACATTTATTCAAAGCCAGTTTTCTTTTCTAACTCATTTATATGTTCTACAGTTGTTCCGCAGAAGACATCGAGAACGGGATGAGAACAAACAAGGGAAAGATGAATTTACAAACAAAACTACCTCTTTACAGCTTTATAGTATTAACACACTCTTGCGAGAATGACGTCTAGTACTACACGGACAAACTATGAACTACTTTTTTGAATTCAGAAAGTTTGTATTTTATAAAGGTTTGGTATTTAAGTGCTTGCAGTCTAACCAATGCATTGTTTTCAATTTGGATATTATATTTATAAACGTGTATACTTACGTTTAAAACATACTCTTTTTGAAAAAAAAAAAAAAAAAAAAAAAAAAAAAAAAAAAAAGGTTTTTCTTTTTACAAAGACAAAGCATTTTCAGTTTATTCTTCTTTCCCGTTTGTTAGTTACGCTGCCAACAACTAAAATCAGTATTTAAAATTTAGTCTGCAAATCCTGTTCCAACTGGAATTTAGGTCTAGCGAAAGAAAGGTAATTGCGAGTATAGAGGAGTGTAGAAGAGAAACCAGAACAAAGATAAAGTTCAGGTTGAAAGACTTAGGCAAAAATATCTATTACTCGGTCGAGTAGCTTCTCAATTAAGTGTAGGAAAAATAGAGGATGAGATATTGCTAGCCCTTCCTTTTCAATTGCTTCTTGAGTTTAGAATAAGTGTCCTTACGCATTCATCAACTCTTTCAGTTTGATTAACCATTTCACCCGTAATGTAATAAAGCTATAAGCCTGAACTTCTCTAGTTTGTTTATATAAACTGCACCCAGCTCTCTTTTTATATTTTGACGCCACTTACAAATTATATATCTGAGTTTTTTTACACAAACGTTTTGCTGAGTTAGCCTGATGCAACTATTTCATCCATCTTTCAATATTTCTTCCTTATTTATGACGAAGATACTCTCTCTTCATTTTTAGGAAAAGGAGCATTACGGTTTAAGTTTGTTGGAATTTTAGACTAAGCAGTTTTTGGTTGTTGCAAAAAGTGGAGGTTTTCTGTTATTCCTTGGATTCCTTTACGGCCAGAAGAAAGATGGGATTTAAGCAATTCAACCGTGTGTTTCGCTGCGCTAGTGACCGTGTTAAGTATAAAAACTTTATTTGCAATAAATTTAAGTACAGAGTTTTATGGTATATATTCGCACGGTAGCATTTCGAATGTTGAAAATATGCATATAATAATAATAATAATAATAGAAATCTGAAACCCTTCAGATTTTATATTGCGTCCAAACGGGCGTTTGTTTCATTTACCGACACATACACGTTTCGAGAGCATTTGGGATAACTCCACATTGTGCTAAAATATTTTAAAACAACATATCTTTAGAAGTTCCGATAGTCAGTTTCGAGTAGGATAGGAAAATGTTTTATTCTCAACAGTGTTGCCACTGCTCGCTTTGAAATGTTGAGCTGTTTGATCAAAAGTTCGTTAAAGTTTTACAAAATATGAAATAGGCAATAAAATAAATTCGAAACTTCAAATTCGGGCTCCAGGTTCCGACGGATGACTATGGTATTCAAAATTTAATGACTCTAGGTACTGTTGTTTTTTCACAATGCGAGAAGCATTTATACATTCATATAGATTCTTCATTACTTAATCCCTTTAAATATAATACAGGGCGATAATATTTGGTGGCAACAATTTGAAAAGTGATTCGGACATTTAAAATGATTCTACTCAAAATGCAGATAATAATAATAATAAACTACAAAATGTAGCACAAAATTTTAAAATAATTGTTAAAAGTAGATAAACTTTATGTGTCCACGAACGGCAATCACCTGGATGATCTACGAAATAATTGCTTAAAAAGTTAGATAGTTTTACTTAGCAGAGAGCTAATTTTAACTTTGTTCCTGGAAACGGTATTGTAGATC